TGTAGTTCCACATTTGAAAAGTGTACGATCCGAGGGTAACAAAGTATACGATCTTGGGTACTAAGCCTTTGGAGTCCAGAGCGCACGCTCCGCGCTCCAGCTGCCTGCTAATGCCTAGCTGACGTAGGTATACCAGACACAAGATGTCAATTTTATCAGTACCGTTTTCACACAAAGCTTCCGCGCCGAACTTCCAGAAAGTTTCATCGATTACGGCCAGAAATTCCGCCAAAGGGCATGCACTAGAATTTTTTCTAAATGGAGGTAATTGAACATTGGGGGATAAATTATCTCCCTTCTTTGATCCCCAGAAAGAAACATTCATCTTTATGAAGAAGGGTACCGTCTCTGTCTCCTCTACAACTGTTTGTGTAATGTTGACACATAAGTAAGCCATGAAATAATAACATACTAGTGTAACGCAAGCCACTGCACATAGAAAACAGTAAACCAGACTTCGTTTCTCTATCATTATGGGTTTTTTTTAAAATTATTTAATAATTTTAGGCTAGACAGTCGAGAAAAAAATATTTCGGCGACTATTTTGTGAAAACCTTATAGAAAAAAAATCAATTTCCTGAAAGCAGTTAGTTACCTATAGGTATTTAATATTTTTTCCTCTCAGTGTCTAAATCTTAAGCTCCTATCAAACTAAAGATCTAAATGACAAACTGTGGTGATTATTATTTCCTGTAGGCGAAAGTCGATAGCTTTGATGTGAGCAAACTTCTTTTGAATAACCAAAAAGTAGGCCCTAACTATAACGACCGTAATGTTCTAATTTGAAATAAACATTTCTAGCATATATATGACCTCTGAAAGATGCAGCTCTCACAAGGTCGCGGCGTAAGCTTAAATAATACACTTATAAGCTTAATAATGCACTACAGAACACTGAACTCAATAAGCGACGCCAACAATGGACGCTGGGTACGTCAGGCTCTTTAATAACACTCTCACATGTTCACAGGTTACACACAACACTATGATCTATGAACTTTCTTACCTAGGGGACTAATTCTACATACTAATAACAAACACATACACATAAACACAATGTTAACATTAATTACAATTTCTTTTTTTTTTTCGTTCTTATATTCATTCTTTCAGTCATTCATTCATTATCTCTCTCTCTCTCTTTCATTTTCCACTGCTAAGCAAACTGAGTATATTTTTATTTTAATTCATAAGGAAACAAATAGTACCTCTGACATAATTTAAACAAAATTATGCAAGGCTAGTCTCTTTGTCTGCTTTATACAATTCAATCTGTCGAGAGACTAAGTGCGCTTGAACTTGGCTTGTCTTGGCTACCTAGAAGGGGTCTCGAGGTTCGATACCCGACTCGGGCAGAGTTGCGTTTACTGAGAGCCTAGAGGCAGCACGGAAAACCAACTCCTAGATACATCCCCCCCCCCCACTGGTCCACAAATGAGATTGGACCAAAGCGCTCTGAGCATGTTATAAGCATGAAAGTAGCGCTATATAAAAGCTATAATAATAATAATCTTTTCAACAGTAAACCAAGGAGAATGTGTAGAGTGAAGCAACAATTATTCATAAAACACTGAACCATAATCTTCAAATACAAAAACAAAATTTAATAACATACTCTGAAAGACACAAAGATCAATACACACTGGTCGTCCCATATGCTAGGACAAATTTGTACAAATACTCCTTCTTCCCTAGTGCTATTAGAGCATGGAATGGGTTGCCTGAGCTAGCCAGGGAAACCTGTGACTTGTTTTATGTATAATTGCTACTTTACTTTTAAGTCTTCTATCCTGAAGGCTTTCTAAATTTAATGATTTTACTAAAGGTGTTACTCTAGTCAAATGTGAATATTCCTTTGTTATGAATCTCACTGCTCTATTTTGTGTCTTTTCCAGTTTCTTAATGTTTTCTTAAGTTGAAAACAGAGGATACATATCCTATTATTGGCCTAACCAAGGTTAAATAACATTTTGGTTTTAGGTTCTTATTTGATTTATAGAAATTTCTTTTAATATCTATTTGATACTGACATGACTGATGATAGGACAGATAGTATTAGTGACAGTAGTTACAGTAGTGATGAAAGTATTGTAGTCAGAATGTATGGTGTCGAAAGTGTGAATGTTAAAGACTTTATTGAAAAATGTTGTTGGTAAAATGTTTACATGTTTGGGATGTTCCTACTGAGTTGAAGATAATTTACTTCCTAGTCCAAACCTCCCGCAGGACGACGGGGGATAACAGTGGTCAGGGTTTGAACCCGGGACCATAGATGTCCGAATGACAGTCCAGCGCGACAAGGCAGCCATCCAATGTTTTGTGTGAGTTTGAGGTTGGAAAGAAAAAAACATTTAGTTGGTAAGTTTAGGAAAGAAGAAAATGAGGATGCTGATATAGAAGTTTCTTTTTTTGCGAAAAAGTGGGAAAATGGTTGACAAGTTTTTGGGCCGACAGTAGAAGACATTGGGACAGTTAGAATGGGACAAATTGAAACACTTTTGCCACCACCAATAAATTGCAAAGGTACAAAAATAGAACAGAAAGATATATCTCATTTGATGTATCTTTGAAAAATATGTTTTTATTAATTTCTTTAAGCTTCTTGTGTCTTCTGCTGGTGGTTCATTTCTCCCCAAAGTTGGTCCATTTCTCCCCACAGGTGGTTCATTTCTCCACATATTGGGGTGGTATCTTTTTTTATAGACAATATTTTGAAATAAATGACTACTTTATTCAGAAATATAAAAAACATCTCTGAGGTTGTTATTTATGTGGGAAGCGTGGTCGAGAGGCTAAGTCTTGGATACTTAGAAGGGGGCTCGAGGTTCGACACCCGACTCGGGCAGAGTTGCGTTTACTGAGAGCCTAGAGGCAGCACGGAAAACCAACTCCTAGATACCCCCTCCCCCCACAAATGAGATTGGACCAAAGCTCTCTGAGCATGCTATAAGCATGAAAGTAGCGCTATATCAAAAGTATAATAATAATGTTTTTATGTAGCTTTTAGTATAAAAAAAAAGAAAAAAAAGTAAAAATGGTGTTCCCCCCACTCTTCCGTACAATTTCTTACCTTTTTTTTTCTATGCCGAACAAACTAATCAATTACCAATAGTTAATTAACAAATATTTTTTTTAAATGATTTTTTTTTCTGAGGTACAAGAAATAATTTTACGAAATTTCAACTTGATTCGAGTTTGGGCGTGGGAGAACTAACGTGTACAAACCTTTTATTAGACAAAGTGAGTTGATACAAGCTTTGTTAAAAATGGCAGGTATGGTGATCAAACCCACGACATTTGTATTGTATTATATTTGTACACACACAAACTTTCACAGAGTTAAATTGTAGGAAATGTCGCCTAGAAAATTCCATCACTGCTTGAACGGGGTCACCACATTTCAAAATCCTATTTTTAGCAAGTTATGCATTTTAAACATTGGTGAAAAAGGGGATTGAGACAAAATTTAAAGTACTCTCGTTCTCGGCAAATATGGCATACTTTAAGATCTATTAATATTGAAACAACAAACATGCTGCCCTGGACATTAAATTACTAATAATCTGGTACTGTTATACACATCATATATAAGTCCAAGCTATTTTGTCTTGCGCTATTTTGTCGGGTCACCGGCCATATGTCATTGTTGGCCTCCTCAAGCCATAGAACAGGTGTGGCCAACCTATGGCACATGCACCAAAGGTGGCGCATTTTACCCCGAGAACAGAAATTAAAAAGCTTGTCTGTTCGCAAAAATGCTATTAATCGAGTTCTAAAACGACAAAAATTCAATAGGAAACTAATAGTGGAACTATTGCGGCGCTCAAATTGACCGACATGACTGATGATATGATTGACGACATATAGCCAAATCTGGTTGGACCAATTTATTTTTTTTACATTTTTTATGTTACCTAGATTAGCTTTTCAATTTACTAGGCATTGATTATAATTTATACATTTTTGTAACCATTACCCTTGAGTCACTCTTAAGAAAATACTAGATGGTCAGACATATTTGAGGTAGCAAAGTCATGTCTGGGAAATCATTTTAATTTGAGTAAACTAAAACCGTCAATGTCTGGTAGAGTTACTGAAGCTGTAATGTTGCTTAAAACAATTTTAGATTGTCCTCTTCTGAGATATTATCCCTGTCAAATACTGATGCGAGCAAGCCTTTCATTCATGAAAATGTTAAAAACAAACTGAAGCCACTAAATTAACTCTTAATAAAAGTCACAAGTCTTGCTATAGCTAGTTACATAGTTTTTGCCTGTATGGGACGTTATTTTTTGTTTAAAACTGCTAACAGTGTTCATAAATTATTGAAAGTCAATAGTCAGTAAGAAATTTGAATTTTAGGCCATTACAATTATAAATGTCCACTAAAATGTTAAAAAAGAATGTGTAGCTTGTTTATTTGATGGTAATCCACTTCCTCCACTACACACTGATAGGTACCAAATATGTGCCAATGGTTTTATTTTAAATGGACTGAAACTTGTACAATTTGCAGTGGCGCATCTAAATTAGAAGTGAAAAAAAAAATGGCGCACGGAAGAAAAAGGTTGGCTACGCCTCTGCCATAGAACAACTATGGTTCATTGAATAAATCCCTTTTTCGTGTCGACTGTTGAGACCTATGCTGGAGAGACACTCCCGCCCACATTAAACACAGGAAACGGTGGCCTTTGCTTTGGTGGTAGAGGAACCAGACATTTTTTTTTGTTTGGTGCGATTTTCTTCCAGTTCATTAAGAGTGAATTATCAATCAACCAATAATTTGTTTATAAAAGGATAAGGACTAGTTAGAGGCCAGTTATCGGGTTGAATTACAACTAGGCTGCTTAATGACAACAAGTTAAATCTGTATTTAGAGAAGAATGTTTTATTGACCTGCTATTATGTGTGATAAAAATTAGGCTGTATAATAACAAGTTCTGTGTGTAAAGGGAGAAGACTCAATTATAGACAAGCTGTTGTAACAAGAAAATGATCTGATAAATAGAGCTACATTTCTGTGTAGATATTATTAGATGAAATGTATTCCTAACTACACAGAATAGCCTAGTTAGGTTTTATGTTTTATTTCATGAGTTCTCACCGTAGGTAAGTGCTAAAATACTTTCTTTTCTTACAGATTACAAACTACTCTTCAAAAAAGAAGCCAATTTTGCCCTACTCATATAATTGAAGTACTAACCAAGGATCAATGAAGTCACAGACTAAGTCATCTAAAAATATCCTGCTAAACACTGTCAAAAAAATAAAAAATTAACCCGCAAATTTAAACTCTATGGTCATATGTCAAGGTCCTAATGGACTCCCAAACACCTTCAAAGAACAGTTTCAGGGAGAAGATAAGAAGCAGACAGAGAAAGTGATGGGAAGACTACCGGTACATTAAAGAATGGGCAGGGCTGTCATTAGATGAAATTCTATCCAAGGCAAATAACAGAGTAATGGAGAAAGATTGTTGACAGATCTTGTGTGGTGCCCCAACAATTCAACTGACTAAGGGATAGTTGAAGGATGTCCATGAGTCAGATGGGCTAGGTCCAAGAATATTTGACATTTTTTGAAGAAACTTCTTATGAAGGCACCCACATCAACAATGCTCACAAAAAAAATAGAGTTAACAAAGCTTCAAGTTCTGGGTATAATCAATAAATGTTAATATTCAACAACCATAAACCTAAAAGAAAAAAAAACAACAAAAAAAAGGATAGTAAAATCATGGCACAGTGTTTGGGGGCCAACATTGGAATTCAATAATTATGATGCAAATAAAGTAGATGAATGAATTCACACACAAAATAAGTTGAGTATGATGCACACAGATCAGTCTACACTGAAATCCGGTCACATCAGGAAACATGTGAACTATGCAATGCTATGAAGACTTTTTAAAAAAAAATTAATTAAAAGCTAAAATATTGAGAGAAAAAAAAAATAAAATGATGGTAACAATTTAATGTTCAAAATATGTGAATATAAAAACCAAACGTGTAGGGAATAAAGTGAGTCCTCAATAAAACAAATATTCTGCTGCTGGAGAAATAACTGCTAAGTCAACAAGTTGTCAACTGTAGTTTTTTTTTTTTTTTTGGTCTTGTACTGAAATTAACAGCAACAGATTTAGATTTGATAAGGCCCTAAGCTATTTGACAAATGCGTAGGCAATTTTTCCTTTGCTTATTTTTAAAATGATCAAAAGATATCACTGAAACAATTTTTTGGGGCCCCCAAGCAAGTGTGGGCTCTAGCTTCAGCTTATGTGGCATAGAGGTCAATCCAGCATTGGAAATAAACGAAATACTTGATTTTGTTTTGCATGTCTCTTTGACGCAAAAGCTTGCTGAGGCAGAGTGGGATCACATCCCATTTATTTATTGAGGGACACACTCGAAAAATACAATTCAGCTCAAGTAATTTCTCAAGTTAAAATGTTCATTCCTTCATTGGTATTAGAACTAAGGACTTACTGTTTGGCAACCAAGCAGTTAATACCACTCAAACCGACACAAAATTTGAAAGTACTAGCACCTATGCCATATAAGTTTTCAGAAGTTGAGTTTCAGTTTGAGTTTTTGGCAACTTGGCACAATTTAGGCCATGTGATGCTTGTTTTCAGAAGTTCCATCAAGCCTATAACAACCTAGAACAAACCTGCTTGAAGGCATTAACCATTGTGACCACAATCCTATAGAGCAGTTCAAAAGGGGCGCTGGTGCCCATCGGGGGCAATTTCGTGAAATTGGGGGGGGTGGAAGCCAAAGGGGTAGTAGGGGTGCGCTGGGCAGAATGGGCGGGCCCCTCTGGGCATTAAAGTGGCACGTAGAGATGCACTGAAACAAAACAAAATTTCTTCAAAATTAATAGACAAATTATAGTTACAGTACAATTTAACATGAAAATAGTAGGCCTGTCACATATAAAACATTCATGAACAAATATGATTGAATAAATTTAAAAGGTACTATTCAAAGGATTTGATGAGATTAATTTTTGTGAGTAATCACTGCAAGTTATTTGACATGTTTTTTTTTCTTTAATACTTATAAAATTAAGGATCTGTTATCGACATCATGAAAATTAATACATAAATGACATTTTAGTTGAATTTGTATTCTCATGCATTTTTCTTGGGGGGGGGGGGGGGGGGGGGGGGGGGGGGGGGGGGGGGGGGGGGGCCGCAGGCGGATTTTTTTAAAAGACAAAAAAGCGAAAAGGGGGGCAGTGGTCTATAAAAAGGTTGAAGGCCACTACTATAGAGCTTACTAAATAATCAGGCAGCCACTTTTGCTTTTACAGTCTACACATGCTCACATATTCAAACACATATAGCTTCAAACAACAATCATTCTAATCATTTATGAAAGTATTGATTACAACAAGTAATATGTCATTTTTTTGTTTCATCAATTCCTACTTTGTCTTCAAACAAAACACTCCTATATTATTTTTCATTGAAAAATTATGAGAGAAAAAAAAAAGGGCCAGTATGGGTATTCTCGCTTTTAGCATGACACTAACAACTTAGCTAACCAGCCATACCGCAAAACATATAAAGAAATAAATGTATATATACAACATAAAATGTGTTAAAAATAAAAAGACCACTAATTTTGACTTCTACCCACATAATGTACAAAATTAATTTATAATTAAGAAAGTTCTCTTTCTGAAATTTTGTTAAGTTTATGTTGGAAATTACAGATGGTTAATTCAAATGAAAAGCTGTAAAAAATAAATAATTCAAATTTGTCATTTTTTTTATATACCAGGTTTTAGTAAAATCCATAATTAAAGAATTAAAAAAATAAACATAAAAAAAATTGACTTTTTATGTTACAGAAATCTGGCTACAAGTTCTTTAACAAATGTGACAAACTTGTCCACAAAGCCAGGAGCATCAATGGTATCTTACATATTAGAAAAAAAACACAAAAAAAGTCACTAACCAATTTTGTTTACATAAAACAATGGTATCAACATAGAGTTTTATAGTAGAAATCACTAGAGGTATAGTGTTTAACAAAAATCAACAATAAAGTGCACGATACGATGCATGAAAATTGAGTATCACAGAAATATTTTTTTCAAACAGGAAGAAAAACTTTCAATTGAAATCCCATTTAGATCAACAAACAAATACATATGATTTCTGTCATTTTTATTTCTATTAAACATTGGATTGACATCAATAACCGTCAGGGATGCCTCCTTTTCTGTCATCTGATTTTGCAAAGATGCGATTGCCTCTAACATCAACACCCTGAATAATAGATTTGCCTCTAGCGAACTCTGTTACATTGTGTCCTAGCTTGATCAGACCTTGTATTACAGCCTGGATACAGAACAAAGACAGTCTTAATTTGAAAAGAAACAAAAAAGGATTATTTTTTTATAAATTTCTAGTGATATAAACTTCAAAGTTGTATAAGCTTCTAAATTTCCTAATGTTGGTTTGAGAAAAATTAATTTCTAGGCATAAATTTATAAATCTTGCACATTGCTTTAAAAAGTATAAGTGATCACAAAACTCCATGGAGATGGTAATGGGGTCGCCAATGATGGTGTAGTATACGACAATAAATGCTTGGTGATGTCCAAACCTCATCAAATTTTCTTTTACTTCCAAAACCATTATGAAGTATATCTTACATGACAACAGAGTGGATTCCTAGAAAATCTCAAATATCAATAAGATTCTAAGATAAGAAGCTTTGGTTCAGAGATCAAGCCTTTCATCACTCAGCCACAGTGTCCCTATCCACCATGCATGTTTAAATTATTTAAAATATAGGAACTCCAATTATTCCGAAAATAAATGTCTGTTCAGATCAAACTATAATTAGAATCTCCATTGTCTACAGATATAGTTATTCTACAGTTCATTAGAAGCCTTGGCTAATTTCACTATACATTTTCAGGCCTATGTCTTCATTTCAAGTCTGTCTCCACAGAGCATGGACCCACCACCATATATATAAACAATTTGACTAAGGTTAACTCTTTCTCTCCTAACTGACGATACCAACGTTGACTCCACCAGAATGTGATAAGTAATTACGGAGAGAAAGAATTAAGACAGTAAATTCAGAATAAATCAACCTACATCTTCAAACCCTTTCTCAAATTGTGCAGCTGAAGGTAGGAGTTGATGGTGGAGCCGGGGCAAGTTGACAGCCGCTTCAAGAGATTCTCCCAGCCAGAGAATGTGTGCTGCCACCTGCAATAAAAAAAAACAGGCAAACATTTCAAGTAATCCAATCACAACTGTTTAAAAAAAAAGATAAATGCTTTGAAAAAGGTTCTTGGAATGAATAACAACAACAAAACATAGTTGAGTAAGACATAATGATTTTTAGCATTCAATAGTTTAATTACATTAAAGGGAAACAGTCTGATACCACCTAAATCCATTGTAAACAAAGTACATCCTCACTCTAAACAGTCTCAGTCACCTAGCTAACCCTTGCTATGTTTTTAAATTACCATCACACAACTCCAGCAGCATTCCCAGTTATGCTACTTCTACACCCGAGCATCATTACATTGAAATAAGTAACAAACATGAATTTTTTTTAGATAGGTTTACAAAATAAAACTTCATAAGCATTATCTGTGTACCTGTGTACAAAAGTGATATAAAAAGAGTCGAGGTGACGGTGGTTGGAGAGTGTGGGAGCTAGGAGTACTAAATAGATCTCAAAGTGGATTTAATAAAAAAAATTTAATTAATTTGAAAGAAAAAACAGACCACATGTATACATATACATGTATAAAACTAGTACAAGCAATGTGTGAAATCATTTCTTACCCAGGCAGTCGCGGAAGTAATCATTGATCCACCAGCAGCGCCAAGGACTTTGGAAACTTTGCCACTGCGATGGTCAACAAAAATAGCTGGGCACATTGAGGACAGAGGTCGCCTGCCGGGGGCAATGAAGTTAGCTGGGGAAGGGTAGATGCCCCACTCGTTAGTGATGTTGGGGGTGCTGAAATCATCCATCTCATCATTGAAGATGATTCCTGTCTTCATACCTCGACGCCGTGATCCAAACCTGTCATCACAAATTTGATTCAAAAAGTCTGAGAGGGGAACTTTTTTAACGTACATCTGATGATGCATTGTAAGTAAAGGCAAATTCAGGTCAAGAAGAATAATATAGAATTCAAGAATTAAGTGCTAGTAGGTCAAAAGTATTTGATAGTATTTGTCTCATTGATATGACAAATTTCCATCCAAACAGAAGTCAACACCAAACAGAAATATTTGAATTGAAGAGCAACAAGAGTGTGGAAATTATTTGAGACAAGGCAGTAATGAGGCACTGAGTTTATTGAACAAATTGTTAAATAGCCAATCTGTAATATTGAAAATGTCTAATGTATTTTTAAAATAACAAACAAGTGTGACTTAATTAGAATTTATTAAATTAAAAGATGCTTGACAATGGACCTCCTCATACAATTCTGAATTACTGTGTTCTTTCTATATTTTTTTTGGTTATTGCTAGAAAGCTATGTTTTGCAGAGCACATATCTCGTATGTGGGATGAACATATGCTAACTGCAATTTTTTTTGTGAGCTGAAAGGTGGACAGTGTAACAGAGGTGCTTCTCTGTGGATGAATTTAAGACCAGCTCTGGCCTCAAATTGCTTTAACAGGTGGAAATGTCTTACAAAGGCTGTAGGATACACATTTGAAACCTCAAGGACCTCTACTGCTAAGGACAGGCGTATATGGCAAAAAGAGAACTTACTTTCAACACATATAGACTACACTTCCAAGAAAATTGAGTCCTCTGTCTTTAGTCCACTTGAGTCAATTTATAACATAATCCTTGCCTCACAAGCCAACTTAATAGCATAGACTTTGTCACACAAGTCAACTTAATAGCACAGACTTTGTCACACAAGTCAACTTAAAAGCATAGACTTTGCATCACAAGTCAACTTAATAGCATAGACTTTGCCTCACAAGTCAACTTAATAGCATAGACTTTGCCTCACAAGTCAACTTAATAGCATAGACTTTGACTCACAAGTCATAAATTTTGCCTTTCAAGTTAACTAAAGAGCATAAACCTTGCCTCACATCAACTTAAAAACATAAGCATTGCCTCTCAAGTTAACTAAATAGGACAAACTGATAACATAAACCTTGCCTACGCATCAACTTCAAAACATAGACCTTGCCTCTGAGTCAATTAATACCAAAAACCTTACCTATCAAGTCAACACTTTAAACCTTAGCTTGCAAAAGAAAATGACAGATAAGCCTAAGGGGACTGTTTCAGTACAAACCTGGCATTGACGGTACTTGTGACAGACACAGCACTGCCTTCTTGGTCCAGCAATGACACATGAGACGTGCTGGTCTTGACAGTGTTGTAATAAGTGGGCCCATAATACATGTAGTCATACATTCTTGAGGCATTGATCAGGGAACGTATACTATCAGCATAGTCTCTAGAAGTCAAATTGCGGACAAGCTGATGAGCGAAAAGAAAAAAAAATGTTCAAACTAAATGCTAAAGAAGATTTCAATAATATTGCAATTCTATTCCAATTTCTTTTCAATGTGACTGATAATGGGACGTAACCTACAGGAGACAAGGACCTACTGTTGTAAAATGAGCTTGTAGGAATGGAAATAATTACAGAAGTTTGAGCTTAATCTAGAAATTTTAAAAACAAAAGTTTGACAGAAAGTTTTCTTAGTCATAAAGTGAATGTAATCAATTTTACGTCATTAATAAATTCAGCTTTCTATACTATGTATTATGGAGTGTGTGTTATATAATCTTTAATAAAATAAAATATAGTAAGAACTATATGTATTCTACTTTTGAAAAAATGAAGAAAGATGGATATTTTTTATTCTAGTTGTAGGTGTGGAGTTTGGAAATACTAAGAGAAAGTTAAAAGTATAGTAAAAAAAAATACACATTTAAAATTGTATTTTGGATCATACTATATTGATATGGAAATTCTATCCATCTGAGCTTATTTTGTTTTTGAAATTGATTTAAAAATTGGTCATGCGACATGTGTCATTAGGACTTCTCAATGCCTGCTGCCATCCCCTAGTCATCCTGAGGGAGGTTTGGACTATGAAAAAGATCTAGTCATGCAAGTTAATCAATGAATTAAACTCTGATAAGTCGGTTTTCTTGCTAGATTCAGGCTACCCATTCAATCATCCCATAGATTACCTTTAAATCTGAAGGAACATCCAAGACATGCAAAACCTTTTACAAACAAACATTAAGACATGTTTATATTTTACATGCATTAAAGGCTAGCTACATGGAGTCAGATCATAACCTTTCTTTAACACTGCAATCAATGAAAGTGAGACTTTTTGTTTTCAACGATTTCTAAGTAGATAAAATTATTTCGATTAACCATGGATCATTGCCATGGTACATTTATCCATCTCCACTGAATCTCTAAAACCAAAATGTAATCCCTGAAAAACAATGAGCAAGAAGCAGGAAAAACTTACAGCTTGAATGTCAGGCTTGTCTGTGTCATCCCCTAGACCAGTTCTTTTGGCGTAGGCAAATTTAAAGGTCTCAATAATCTTATGATAAGTAGCTATCCTGGCCTCAGGAGTAGAAATATCTCCAGGGTTAAAGTAGAAACCTGTTAAATTATAATTTAGCTATTGTTCAATAACAAACTCTTCAATAATGATTAACATTCTTTTAACAAACATTTAACAGTTAGTTTGGAAAAAAAAACAATA